GACGCCGGGCAGGGTGGCAGGCTTTGTGCAGGGGAGCCTGTGTGTAGGACAGTGCAGGCCCCGCTCCAGAGCAGTCCTGCACGTATGGGGAGCCTCCCCGGGCGCTCGGAGCGGTACAAATCGCAGACTGCCCGGCTCCTGCCCTGGCGTGCGGGGCGTGGGAAGGCCAGCTCCTGGGCCGTATGTTAGCCCTGGGCCCCGTCAGAGGTGCATTGGTGGCAAACCCTGCACAAGGCGGGCGTCGTAGGACAGTGCAGGCCCCGCTCCAGAGCAGTCCTGCACGTATGGGGAGCCTCCCCGGGCGCTCGGAGCGGTACAAATCGCAGACTGCCCGGCTCCTGCCCTGGCGTGCGGGGCGTGGGAAGGCCAGCTCCTGGGCCGTATGTTAGCCCTGGGCCCCGTCAGAGGTGCATTGGTGGCAAACCCTGCACAAGGCGGGCGTCGGGCCTTGGAGCTGAGGGCTCGCCTCAGGGCTTCTCTGAGGTTGGCTTGGGATTTTCCTCTCCCTCCGTCTGGCAGGTGGCGGTGTCAGGAAATGGTGTTTCCCTCCCGGCCGCTGGGCCAGCCCGTGTGTTTCCTCCGCCAACACATCCTGCCTCCCTCTCTTTCAGGCTGTTCCTGAGACTGCTGGCATCAAGTTTCCAGACTTCAAATCTGCAGGGGTCACACTGCGGAGCCAGAGGGTAGGTTGCTGCCATGGCCTCTTGGGGCTGCTGTTCCAGTCGGTCTCCCTGTCTCTGTCCCGAGCCGGTCTCCTGTGATAAGTTCTCGCCTCTAAACTAAGCAGCCTGGTGCAGCCGCATAGGCTGTAGCCTGGCACACGGGCGTGCTGTGGGCTATCGGCCAGCTCTGCTTTGTGGCAGAGCGTCCAGAGCCCTGAACCCGCCGATGTCTCCCACCTGGCCCAGACGGAGCCTGCAGCCAGATGCCCCATGCCTCTGCGAGCAGCCCGCTGCAAGGTGTCCGCCAGGCCTCCAGTGGCGACTTGCATGCCCTGGCCTGACCCAGTCACCATATCTTAGCTTCAGAAACGCGTCATTTGAAAAGCCCCAAGTGCCTGGTGTCCCCTCAGGGTGAGCAAACAGCAAACCCCGGCCTGGTTTTAGGTGCAAGAGTCGACATCTCTCCTAGCCAGATCCTGATCCAGATAACCCAGCTGGGGACCAGTCCCGCAAACCCCCTTGGCCTGGGAAAAGAGCATGTGTGTCGGCGGGGAAAACCCACCGTTCGCTATTTCGGGGTTGCCATGGTGTCAGCGGGCGAGTGGCGCCACTGGGTGAATTTCCAGCGCCACTTCGGGGGCTGGTCCTTTGAGGCCAGAAGGCGTGCAGGGCCTTTGGGCAGTGCCCTGGGCGGGGGAGAGCACTCGGGCCTGTGTGTGTGAGCTGCGGCCTTGCCTAGGCAGGCTGGGGGTCCCGTTTTCTGGGGTGCTGCCCCTGCGCTCAGCTTTGCCGGGTGGTCGGGCGCTCCCAGGCTCTGGGCAGCGAGATGCACGGGACGGTTCACGGAGACACGGAAGATGGAAATTTGAGTCTGTGTGGGACTCTGCGGCCTTTGCCCGCTCCCTGGGACCTCTGAGGTCTCCCGTGCATGACGGAGCTGTGTGTGTGTGTGGGGGGGGGGGGGGGGTGAGCCGCAGTTGGTGCGGCGCTTTGGAACCCGTAGGGTGCTGCAGTGGGCTCAGCGCTAGGACCGTTCTCTACGCCACTCGCAGCCGGCCCCGCCGCGGGAATGTGACGAGGGGTGGCGTTGGTATGAAGCGCCCAAAGCGCCCGTGGCTACTGGCCAGGCTGGCTGTGAGGGGTTTGCTCTCTGCCTGTCTGCTCCTCAGGCGTGTGAGAAGAGCCGTTTCGGCCCTAGGGGGTGGTGTTTGCAGCCAGATGCACCTTCTACGTTATGTTTTATCAGGCACTGGTGGCTGCTCCTCCGCTAAGGCTAAGTTGAATTTTTCACACCAAGCAGGGATTCATCTTCTTGGTTGTGTATGAGAAATGCCCCGGTCCTCCTCGCGGTGACAGCGCTTACTTTGGGCCGTCGAGTGGATTGCCGAGCGTTCACCCGTGGGTTGCGACGAATTGGTTAGTTACTGAAAATTAACGGTAGCCTGGCCCTCGCAGAACATGCGCCTCCAGCGTTGGGTGTGGTGCGTCTTCAGTGGCCGTGCTAACAGGCTGACCCAGACTTTTCAAACGTCCCATCTGGCCCAAGCCCCCGGAATCGGGTGCGTCGGCTGCAGGTGGAGACGTGGGTTACAGGGTCCGTGGTCGGTTATTGCAGCTGGTCGTTTCTCCTTCTGCAGAGGCTGAAGCAGCCTGATCAGGGACTCCCACGCTGCCTTCGCCATGGCTGCAAGGCCTGTTGTTCTCAGGGGACGAGGCCAGAGGCAAAGATGCCTTCTGTCACCCGCTCCTCATGGAGATCCTGGCTGCCTGCGGGGTGCTGCCATCTTCCAGGAGGCCGTGGGGTTGCACTGCCCCAGAGCCCTACGGGTCGCACTGCCCCAGAGCCCTACGGGTCGCACTGCCCCAGAGCCCTACGGGTTCTCGTGTGGAGTCGCTGCAGGGCAGAGTCAGGGGGCTTTGGGTGCCATCGCTGCTTGTTGGGCCTGGCTGGGCTTGGAGTGCCCCCCCCACTCTGACTTTTCCCGGGCTTGTGCATGGCTTGGGGCTACCTGTCACATCCCTTTACCCAATTGCTGAGCTGGGCGCTCGGCCTTCGCTCCGCCGTAGCCGTGCAGCCTGGCAACGAGGAGTGTCCCGAGGCGGCGGCGGGCGGGGGCTGAGCTGGTGGGGTCGCCCTGCTGGGTTGCGGTGGGGGCGGGGGCCAGGCGGGTTGTCTCCGCTGGGGACAGCACTAGACCCGGGCGTAAAGCGGAGCCCTGGGAGCGTGCAGAGCTGCCGAAGGGCTCGCCGGGCGAGCTCACAGCCGGGCACCTCCCTCCAAACGAGGCGTCCAGCCAGCGTGCTGACTTGCTCCCCGCTAACTAGAATCCTGTAGACAAATTGCCGGTCAGGCCAATTAAAAAAGAAATAGGGGGAGAAAAGCTTTGAACACAGCTTTAGTTCCCATTGATTCAGATATTCACCCTCCCTGGCTTTTAAATATTTACTAGCCAGCCGAGCATTTTTTTAGCACTGATTAATGAGTTACAATTTACTGTGGTTGTTTTTTTTTTTTTTCTTGGGGGCGGGGGCTGGGTTCCTGCCACCGCTCCAAGATGAATGAGGCTTGCGGTGAAAGGCTGGGGAGGGTGGAGGGCTGTGTGCGTGTCTTTTAAAATGTTTATTCTTCATATTTGATCTGACCCACAATTAAATGGCCAAGCACGCTGCCTGTTTACTCCCCGTCAGTGGCTCTTGACGCTGCTTCTTGCCTGACATTAATGCAAGCCCAGACCTCATCAGCTGCTAACATGTGAAACATCTGTCTCCCTCCCATGATCAATACCGGCCTTTCAGAGCTGGGGCTTGGAACGCAGCTCCATAAAATATCCGTTATATTTATTTGGGTTTGATAAATTTAATTACTTGGAGCAATTAATAATTTATTTGTTCGCTATTGATTGCACTCCGAGGCATCTTGGTGAGATAAGCTGATGGCAATCAGCACGTCCGTCTCAGGCAGGAAAGCATATGTTTCCGAGTCAGAAACTTCCTCTGGATTAGAGAGCCGGGCTGTTCCTGTCGCTTCTCTCGGCACGTCTCCTGTGGTGAAATGGCCACGCACAGCCCGGCTGCACGCCGCGGCAGAGCACACGTGGGAACGCCACGTTACCCTTCGCCGGGGCCCGGCGCTCCGATGGAGGTCTCGAGGCCCAGGAGTGGGGAGGGAGCAGGTTGTGCAGGTGATCCAGATTCATGTCTGTGGCGTTGCAGGTGGGTGTAGGACACCTGGCGTACCTAGCAAAGGGTATGGGGGGGGGGCGTGCATTCCGAGTACCCCTCCGCTTAGCAGATGTCCGAGTCTAACAGCTAGTGGCCGATTTGGGAGGGGTTTCGCGAGGCTGTGTGAGATACAGGGATACAAAATACTAAACAAGTGGCTCTGTCCGTCTTTGCTCGCAATACAAGCGCAAGGGAGGACAGCCAGGTTGTGGAATTGAAAGGCAGCCAATTAAAAATTGCAAGAAGGAAATACCAAACAGGTTGAATGTGAGGTGGCTAACGAGATTGCGCCGAGTAACAATAGCAAGGGTTAAACCCCCCCGAATCGATGCACACGCTCTTGCTTCAGGGTCAAGCAACCTAGAACCGGAAAGGGCCAGGACTGACGTGGCTAGGGAGAATATTGGTCCTTTATTTCGTAACATCCTGCTGCAAGATTGGCTGGACCTGCCTCCCGAAGCAGGGTGTTAAAATGCGTTTAGCAAAGGAAATGTGGTACTGCTGAAATGGACCCGAGCAAAGCTTTGAGTGTGCAGCCAGCCTCCTGGTATGCGCGCTCACGGTCGTCTCGTCTTTGGTGTCACCATTGCGGTGTTTCTCAGGCAGCGATTGCTTTGTTTCAACCTTAGGGACATGTCTGTGGCGTCTTGTGCTGTGTACAGTGAGTTATCCTCTAGTGTCCATCTCTTCGCTCCCTTTTGGGGCCCACGATGCGTTATGCACCAAGTATTCCTTGTGTTAGTAATTCTGTCACCAGAAGTATCGGACTCTGAAAGCAAACGTTCTCCTTGGAGATAGACGCTGTTGCAGTTTTTTAATTGCACGTAGTTTCTCAGCCTGTGTATCTGAGAAATGCTGCGTCAGACACCTCAAAGTGTGTTTTGTTGTTCCGTGCAATTTCTGTATGTGCTCCTCTTCCCTTGGTTGAGTCTCACGCACGCTCTCGATCCAGCTTTTACAACTGCCTCACGGAAATCTCGCTAGTAAAACCTTCTCTCTCGTGTCCTAGAAGAGTTTGGTGTGTACAGACTTTGCACTTTTTACACGGCTGCTTGAACGTGAGTCATAGATTTAGTCTGCAGAAGCGAAGAGTGAGGGGGGATTTGAGAGCAGCCTTCAACTTCCTGAAGGGAGGTTCCAAAGAGGATGGAGAGAGGCTGTTCTCAGTAGTGACAGATGGCAGAACAAGGAGCAATGGGCTCAAGTTGCGGTGGGAGAGGTCCAGGTTGGATATCAGGAAAAACTATTTCCCTAGGCGGGTGGTGAAGCGCTGGGCTGGGTTCCCTAGGGAAGTAGTGGAGTCTCCATCCCTAGAGGTGTTTAAGTCTCGGCTTGACAAAGCCCTGGCCGGGTTGATTTAGTTGGGGTTGGTCCTGCCTAGAGCAGGGGGCTGGACTTGACCTGCTGAGGTCTCTTCCAGCTCTATGATTCTGTGATTTGCCATCAAGCCAGGTGCACTTTAAAATGGTCATTTCTGTAGGTGCACGCTTGCAGGTTTGTTTGGAAGAATGCTAGTCTCTTTGCCCCGGCTGGGACCGTGTTGAGCCCCGCGGGTCCCGAGGCGTAGCTAGTGAGAGTTCATGCTGTCATTTAATTGTAAGCCACCCTGTGGGCCAGCAGACAGTGCAAACAGCATGCAAGGTGGGGTGTAAAATCCCGTTTAATTGGTTAACTGGCTAAACGCTAAGTTTAATCGATTAATTGATCACAGGCTAGGTGGGTGGGATTCCCACCGCGGACGAGGGCTGCTCCAGCCCCTGCCAGTTAACTAGAAGCAGTAACCATTACAATCTCGAATG